CCGGCATGCAGGGGGCTGGTGGGGCAGGTGGCCCCTGGGGGCAGCACCAGGGGTGAGTTCAGGTGCTGGAAGACGTGCTGCTCCAGGAGAACGGGCAGCGGGATGGGGCCCTGGGTGGTCATGACATAGGGGGTGGTGGCGTTGGTGGCTGGCATCTGTGGGGCAGCACTGCCGGCGACCTGCAGGTGGATGGGCAGGACAACAGGGCTGTCCCCGAGGCAGATGGGCTGCAGCACTGTGGCTGCCACCTTCAGGGCCACCCCGCTCTGTGACTCGGCCGGCGGTGTCAGAATGGAAGGTGCAGGGACTGTCACCAGCGGGGATAGGGCCTTCTTCATCAGGTCAGCCGAGTTGATGTTCCAGGCCTCTGCTGTGATCAGTTGGGCTACCCCGTTCTCCAGCTTGTTGTTGGCCATCGCTGAGGGTGAGCTGGTGACATCCATGGGCAGGTTTGGGCTGTCCTTGTACAGGTCCTCCATGTTGCAGGGCTTCTTGGGCTTTGCTGGTGCCACCTCTACATCGCCGTCAGTGGGACCCACGGCGGCTCTGGGCTGCCAGAAGTGTCAGCACTGACATTTGGCCTGCAAGCCAGAAACATATTTTAGGCACTGCATAAATCTCCTTCTTAAAATAATATTTGCAATTGCCTTTAAAGACCCCACCACCAATGAAAAGCCATTAAACTTTTCCACGCATCAGGGTAACGACTCCATAACAGAACGCACTATATATACAGAGGTGCTGGATATACGTACGTCCGTGAGTGTTGTACGAAGAGTTTTGAGGAACTTATATTTAGCTGTAAACACAGACAATTTAATAGGCCTCGAGGACTGCCTGCAGCCAAAAAAAAAAAATCAAACCCAGTATGCGGCCTTAAACAAGGACTGGGGCCATCCATTTCACGTTTTTAAACAAAGCTGCATGTAATGACAGTGCACGGCAGAGTCGAGTGACAGCGCGCTGGTTTAACTCAACAGAAGCCCCCAAACAAACATTTCTAAAAATATCACAGCTAAGAAATGTTCTGCCATGAGCAAAGAGTACTCTATTCCCCTACAATACTGATCCCTTCTTCATCCCCGTGGGATTTACTGAGGGCAAACAGGCGAGCGCCGCGTGGTGCGTATGGCACTTCCAGAACCGCCATGCACAGGGTGAGAAAGGAGAGTGGCCAGGCAACACCAAAGCAAAACCAAAGCAAAGCAAAGCAAAGCAAAGCAAACCAAACCCTGATGCTCACCTGCCACAGAGCTAGACAGAGAAAGTAACGTGAACCAGGCACCTGATTCATTAAAGACCTGAAGAATAACAAAAAATCAAAGCCATTTCAAATTTATTTTGACAGCCCAACCCTTTATATTGACCAAGCAAATGGCAATTAAAAAAGAGCAGAAATGCTTTCCATTCATGACCATGGTGAAATTTGCAGCCTGTTTCCTAAAAAGATTAACATCCCCCTCTCTCTGAAGAAAAGCAGCAGCAAATTAACAGCGCTGTGCATGCATTTATTTAGAAGGATAAATAATTTCCACCCCACGAGCTGCCACCAGCGGACTTGGACTAGGGGCTGGCTGTACTGCCTGGCACCGCCCGTGCCTCTCCCGAAGTGTGCTGCGCATCCTGCCGTAGTAATAATCACCATGGAAACTTGTCCAGTTTCAACTCCGTTACCATGGGAAAACATCAGCACACCCCAAATCTACATTTTTCACCTGCATGCAGCTGGATCCTGCTCCCTAGGAGCAAAGCCTGTGCCAATGCTGCAAGGCACTCCCCCGTGTCCTGCAGGCATACTGGCGATGGGATGATAGGGAGGACAGCACCACTCCAAAACTGGATGGGTGAGAAGTCTCAGCCTGGGGATGCGTCTGCGTCTGAGAGCATGTGAAGAGCTCCACCGGCTCTAGTGCTTACAGAAATTATTTACTCACACGGAAGTTTCTAGGACTGACAGACATGCAAAGTGGATGGGGAAAAGGGAAAAACAAACCCCAAGCCCCACAAACAAAGGGTAAAAACTGGCCAAGGCAGAGAAGCGGGAAATCTCGCATGTCTCTCCTGAGAGTTATAAATCCTCAGATTTGGCAGCAAGATGCTACAGCGAGTGCAAGACCACAGAAATGCCAGGACTAAGAGTGGAGGCTGGTTGGGTAAAATGCTAATAATTTATCAGGCACATTTGTGTTCTTATAAAGGATTTTTAAAAGTAAACAGATGAGTCATCTCTCTTCCTCTCCTGCTGCTGGCTTTAGGAGAATAATTCTGGACTTTTCTCATCTCTTGAAATGTTCTGCAGATAACATTCACAAATACAGGGTTGAAGGGCTTTTTTTGTTTGTTTCCTCTTCCAGCCTCAACTGAGACAGTTTACAGGCAGGCAGGGGTTCCCAAGCACAGAAAAACAGGAGCAAAATGAAAACCCCTTATTCAGAAACTGACAAGTATCAATATCATTGATCAGTATCAATAAAATTGGGCCAGTCTTATTTTGAAAATAAAAATGAAAGGAAAAAATAGCAATTGTTTCTAAAAGATAAAGACAGTGAGACCACTCAGCAGATTCATGCTGGGAAAAAAAAAAGATGTTCAGGAATTAAGAAGGAATTTTTCTGTTAAGGAATTAAAAAGCTATTTTCTACTGCTCTCCCTCCCTCTTTTTAAACTGCCCATTTAAATACCCTGTGGTCTCTGTAGTGCCCACCAGCAACTTTGCTTCTCCAGCTGCTGCAGCACAGCTGAGGGTTCTGCACATGACACTGGCTCTTCCCCGTGTTTCTGTTTGCTTGAGGAGCGTGAGATCACGGTGTTTTCATAGAGGATTAATGAGCTGGCAAGAACAGGAAATGATCCCGTGTTCCCCTGGCAAGCCCATTTAACATTGAGAAACAGAAAAATTAAGATGAAAATTATGCTGTGTAAGAGACTTGAGGGGTTATCCTGCTCTACAGAGCCATGGAGAGAGAGACCGATCACTACCGAAGATGAAAGTATAAAGCATAATGAAATCCCCCCATTACTGCTTTAGAAGGCAACAGGGAATGTCTAGATGAGCATAAGAGGTCATCTATTGCCAGCAGACACCTTGAAGAAATGCCTGTGGACTTGGTGTGTGGGTTTGCATTGTTTTAAAGCACAGTCAAATATTGTTTTCCACACTGGATCCTATATGTTTCCGGGATCTATAAATACGTATTGTTGAGCTTGCGGTGCTATGCTGCCCGCAGGAGGGCCCCACTGTGTGAGGGGGAGGAGAAGGCAAGAAAGGTGAGGTGCAGGTGCAGCCCTCAACTCAGGTTTATGGGTTTCGGATGGAGTTTCCCCCACCCCCCGCCCCTTTCCTATATGGAAGCGTACCTTTCCATACTTCCAGTGCACCTGCTTCTTGAGCATGTTCTCTCTCCAGAAAAAGAAACCAACACACATATATATATGCACACAGGTAAGAATACTCCACAATCCCGTCTGCAGCCGGCAGCTCGGTGGGAACTGGCTGCCAGGTACAGTGGAGTCCCATCTCAACAGCCTCCTGCGCCCCACAAAGCAATCTTCAGTCTCACCCAGGAGACAATCCCAGGGCTGCTAAACATGTATTACACTAAACACCCATTTTCAAGGTCAGTAAGCACAGAGTAAAAAGGATTTAAGTCTCCAGGCCTCAAAAGAGGAAACGTTTGAGGATCTTGGATCAAGAGACAACCTGAAGTTGTCCAAAGAGGCATTTTGTAGTTCCCAGACTCCTTTTTTTTTTTAACAATGTACACCAGGTACATGGTACAAAGCCACAAATCAATGTGGAGATGAGTTAAACTAAATTTTCAATGTTGGTACTAACAGCGATAGCTAGACTATTCTCTTTTTTAATAAAAATCAACCTGAAGTATGTGCTGGGTTTATTGTTTTGTTTTGTTTTTTTAAAGATTGCTGCTTCAAAGGATATAAATTATTCAGTTACCCAGTTTTTAAAACAAGTTTCATGTACCTAACGTACACAAATGAAGGTAATATAATTCAGTGAAATTGCCTTAAGTTTCCTCTGCCTACCACACCTCAGTGCTGGAAAATCAATTAATTTCATTTTCCCTACTTATCTATTTAATATTTAATTTGCTGTTTGTTTTAATTGAAAAGAAGCTTGCAACACTGAAGCAAGCCCTATTGTAAATAACTCGGGCTTTCCCACTGGGGTGCTGATAAGAGTTAAGTTCATGGCACTGTGCTGTGATGTGTGTAACTGTACAGGAAATGGTATGTTAGCTATAGAGAAATGCCATGAAATGGGTGGTGATAACTCTAGCTTATTTTTCTTATCTCCTGCTGATGGCCATGCAGCAGACTTTTCCCAGGGCCGCTGCTTGTCTTCCTGTGGGACCGGAGCACCGCAGCCGTCCCCGCGCCCTGCTTGCTCGCCCATACCGCCGCTTCTACCTTGCTACCAACACAGACTGCAAATTACACCCTACACGCTACGGGAAGGGTCTCAGAGGCTCCCTGTCTGGGATGCCCTGCTCAGTACCTTCTGGAAAAATAGGGTTTCCCTATAAACATACTATCAAACATCAAACAAAATTTTGTCTTAATGGGACAGCCTGGGGACAAAATTAGGGATGGATTTGGACTTCAGGGTTTTGCCAAAACTCACTGCTTGCTGCCACTGATCTTACTGCCAGAAGCAACACGGCTGATTTTTGCTCTGCAGAAGGCCGTTAAAAAGGGCTGTGGTGGAAGCATCCCCAATGCGGCACCCCACCGCCCATCAGGAGGGAAGCAGACCTGCCAAGCACCCCCAGTGACCCACATTCAATCAGGGTGCCATGCCAGGTCCTGCATGCCCTGGTCCTCAACGGGCTGGTCCTGCCACCACATGGCAGCAGGCCCCATTGCCCTCAATGCACCACAAACCCACGTGCCCAACCTGCGCCCTGCTAAGACGTGGGTTTCTGAAGGAGCTCAGCGTTGGGCCTGCCTGTCTTCAGCAGTCTCAGCAGCCAAAGCCTGACCCATCTTCCTGCATCCTTCTGCAGTGAATACACAAGTGGGCAACAAGGACACATGATGAGATAGACCAGCCAACTACCAATCATCTCCCATCCTACAAATTCTGGGCTTTGTTGTTCAAGCCATACACAAATAAAGGCATTGCCATATTGTTATTGGTGTTCTGTTGTTAGAAGAGAAAAAAGACACTTGAAAAAAGCTTTCATACATGGAGCCATTACTACACAACTAATGCACAGGTGGGCTCTCCTATACTTGCAAACCACAGGTGGTTTCAGAAGTGTCTGCTTCTCACATTTCCCACTTATTCACATATTAAGGCACCCGCGATTGACAATCCTGTCTATCCCACATACCATTTTAGTCGTGTAATCCTCAAGCACCGAAGGGCAGAGGAGTCATCAGTTCACAGCTAATGGTGAACCAGCCTTATGTGTTTCACCACTCGTGGTGCTGCGTTTGATACCCCACACACATCTTG